TTTATTACACAATTTCTTTATTAATTTATTTACAGGACTACATTCGTTGAGAGCTATGCTACACGATGTATTATTATGTCCTTTATTCGAACTGTATTTGCCTTTCTTTGATGATTTATATATAATTTAACAGTGTTAATGACTATCTTGATTTATATATCTAAATGATCGCACACCAAGTTCCCTCTTCTTTATCGTTTAAAATTCATATATATGTATAAAGCATTACCGAAAGACGATTTAGAGTTTATCTCTTCACGTGTTCCAAATATATATTAGCCCTATATGCCTATATATATAATCAAATAATAGTAGAAACAGTGCTCGAATAAAAGAACAATAGTGAGTTTTCGGAAGCTTACGATAACGAATACGATTACATCATCAATTTTAGACAACCCTTCCCCTGTAGCAAATCTGTCACGTCGTAGGCGATTCATGCCTTTTGCATGAACCAAGGATCATATTCAGCTCATACAGCATATTGTCAAGAACTTTTTAGTCACAAATGACGATGGATGAATAAAGTGATGTCTATGTCTATGTCCGTATGGGTGTCACTGTCTTAAACGACTTAACACTTTTTATATTAAAGATAATATTTGTAGTATGACGGGTTATTATAATTACAAGTTAATTTAGTTTATTGTATTTTTGTTGGGAATGTTATCAATTGTCAGGGTGAAGGACCTATACACTATCCTCTATATCTTGGTCATATGGTAAAAACGTTAATCCTCATGGTTCCACTCGACAGAAATATAACTTAGCGTATTGATCGTAACTAAACGAATATAACATGCTGTAAAACTCATTGTACATGTACTCAGTTTATCGTAAATGTTCCAATAATTCAGACCGGCGCTTATAATTTATTGTAGTAACAGATAAGACATTAGGCTATTTAGGCCTTTATTACTTGTTGCAAAATTAGTAGGCCTATTATTTAATCTGTTAAAAATCGGTTATTTAATAATACTACTGTAGGCCTATTCCAATGATACGAAAGATCAAAGCATAACACATTTAAGCAATGTAGGTTCTGTCGATTAAGCGTCGTTGCGCTTATTTATGCCACGACGGCTATTTGAGAGCGGCGCTTCGCGAAAAAAAAAATCACTTCTGGTGCTTAGAGAGACAATTACTGGAACATTTACGGTATTTAGCTTACATATTCTATATGACATGTGAGTAGTGGGGTTTGTCTTGTAATCAGTACTGTATTCGGCTACAGAAAGCACACCGTTTTGTTTTCTTGTAGGCCTACACCTCATGCAGCTTTTTGTGTCGAATTGTGTAATGTTTCGCATGGAATGGATACCGTACGCTTGCGCTTAGCTAAATGTTATAAACGATCCTAAACTGACGGTTTGCGTGCCCTCTTCTTGCGGAAAATTACGGTACTCATAAATCGTGACGTACCCTCTGCGATAATTGTATCCGTCCGAATGCGAAATCTCATGTGCTCGTGGTGTTTCTGCAGATTCCATGTTTATTTTATTGCGTTATTCTGACAAATATAGTAATTTTGTATTGAACTAAACATGTCATTCTTATCTATGGTAAAAGTAAAATCTATTTACTTCAAATGATTTAAAATCATTTTATGAATTATTAAACGGATAACTGGTATTTGAATTTTTGTGCCTGAATTTATTTCTCATCAATACGGTACACAATCATCTACAATAGCAAAACGTTTTAGGTTTATATATTATTGATTGATTATAAACAATCTAAAGTAATCTACGTTGAAAGTCTGGAGGAATCTTGAATTTTATTCAGCTTTTGGTTCAGATGGGAGACTCGAGAAGTTGAAGACATCATATATGGTAAAACTAAGATAGGCCTATAATAATTAGTCATAAATGTTAAATATTTGTATACAGTACAGTACTTCTACAAAAAATAATAAATTGTTTTAGTTATGGTGTAGCAAAATATATTTCCCCTATATTTTTAAAAATAACCGCCATATGTTATTGAGACACTAAATACACACAAGACCATGGGGTTATTTCTACTATAATAACTCCATGAAAAGGCCAATACTGTAGATACATTATTCTCACGTCGATAACTGCGAGACTCACCTCTTAGTTACATAAACTACCGTACATATAGAACACATGACATATAACCATATGTCAGGCAAAAAAAAAATACAATTTCAAATTATTAGGATTTAAAAAAAAATCGAATTAAGTCTATAAGATTGAAAATTATATAAATCCAATACTTTATGGTCACAATAATACAACAGTATACGACAAATTTCTGGTTAGATTGTTTAACATATGAAATTAGAATAGTGCAGACAAATCGAATACTGTATACATTATAATACAGGGCCTAATTGCAGTCTTTATAGAGCATCATGTTGATGCCTCTAGCGATTCACATTACAGACCGGTCATTATATTCTTAGCTCCCTTGGAATTCTATGATGTTGCAGCAGCGACAGTGCATTGAAAGTCAAACCCTCTGGAAACCCACTTGGAGCTCGCTGTCGGGGAATTTTCAGCGAGTTCGTCGGGGAAAAATCAATTTTTTTTAGCACCAACCCCTCAAACAGGGGGTTAGTCCGACTGGGGTACTCTTAACTTGCAAGTTTTTTTTTTTTTGTTTTTTTTTTTATTTATCCTTTTTAAATAAATAATCCCATAATTAACATAAAATTTTATCACTTTTTAATAAAAAAAATTCCCCGACAAATTAATTTTTCCCCAACCGTCTGCGGGGGTGGGGGGGGGGTAATTTGGTCCCTAATGTGGACCCCTCGAAGGGGAAATCCTGGCGCCGCCCCGGCCGTCAGGTACCCTGCCACGACTTCTGAGTGGGTAGAGACAATGTGGAAAGCGCTTGCCCAAGGATGCGTGATAACTGTACATAAATATTTATAATAATTTTATAATTTTTAATTTTGAATAATAAGAATCTTTAATATTTTAAATTTCTATCTTTTCTATTTTTAATTATTTATTTGTACTGGATTAATTATTATCCTTATTTCATTCATTCATTCATTCATTTATTCATTCTTTCATTCATTCATTCATTTATTTATTTGTGTGCTGCTTTTTTATTACTTGTTTTTTTTTATCGTTTCCTGTGAATAATTTTGTTTTGTATTGTTTTTGTTGGCAGGGGTTCGGTTAAGCACCTAAATCGATGACTGTTTTCTAACTTCTGCTTTTCCTCGGCACCCCTGTTCAACTGTTTCTGTTCTTTGTCGAAATATTCAAAGTAAAAAAAATAATAAAATACAGCACCACGAATAATATTATTATTATTAACAACAACAACAACAACAACAGTAATAATAATAATAATAATAATAATAATAATAATAATAACAATAAAAATAATAATAATACACTTGTATACCTATAGCGCATAATGCACAGAAAAGCTCCTGTGTGCCTTACATTATAAAATCAATAAAATATTTAAACAAATACACGAAACAAAAAATTAAAATTACGAAAAAAATGGCACAACAAAATGAATACTGTATACAGAATATTTGAGGGGGTCACCATCACCACCAAACCCAATCCCGGAAGCATGCATCATGGAACCCCTATATAGGTGGTTTGAGTAAAGAAAAGGCCACAGAAGAACAGGTAGTGACGGTGGCCAAGACAGGGGTCCCCAAGAGAAAATGCTGCCAAATTTATGTTGTGAATTAAGAGATACATTTTTTAGAAGTTTTTGAAAAATTAATGGGTCAGGTAATGTTGCTGATAGCATGATATTTTCGAGAAGACTGTTCCAGAAGTAAGATGAAGGAATTGACTGGAAGTGCGCTTATTGACCATTGACCCATATTGAAAGACAGTTTCAAGGTCATGGCACTCAAATCCAATAATCGCGTTCGACGTTAAGGTTTAGAGCCAGATATTTTGACTACCAGAAATTCGGAAAACACATCATTAGA